TACGAAAGGGCGAGTTGGTAGTTGGAAATGCCGACAAAGTCGAGTGGTGCCGGCAGAGTTGAGGGCGGTGACCAAGGGTGGGAAAAAAGGAAAAGAAAGTGGAGGGATTGAGAGATGAGAGTGGGTTACGAATTGGTGTTTGTAGTGGTTCAAGTGGTAAAGTGCAGGCGTCACGTAAGAAACCGCGGGGCGGGTATCATGGCCGTGGTCGTGAAGGAAGTCGCGTCCTGGGCCCGGCTTTGGTGTAAGTCGCGTTTTTGGGAAGTGGATCAAACCACTTAAAGCCCATGCGCGACTAGAGGGCGGCTCCGAGACAAACGCACGCCTGGCTGCTTTGGTGCTGTTTGTAAAAAGTAAAATATGCTTCTGAAATTCAATGCTGCAGAGTCTCAATGAGAAAAGCTTAAGCTTTCGCCAGCGAGGTGCAGGTGAAAGGCAATCGTGATCAAGGACGGGAGAATACGACGAGGAAAGACGTGAAGTCTGTCGCGTGTAGTAAGATACAACGGGTACGCAATGAAGAAAGTCACAATACAGGTCGCCCGAAGCGGATTAGACCAGCAGGGGGTGGGTGCTGTGACGTTGGATCAGGGGTAGGGGCCGCTTAGCTTCTTAGCGCGAACCCAGCTTGTACCGATACCAAAACGCGCCAAAAACACGCTGTGCACGTTTTCGTCCGCGACTTGAGTGGTCCACGAATCCACTGGAGCGGAGGAAAGGTCTCAAAGGGCTTCGGAGGTGGTCCGTGCTTACCGCTGGAATTTCGGATGGGGGCGGTTGCTGTGTGAATGCCGTGAGTGGGTCCCTCTTTCCTCGTTTCTGAGGTTCTCGGGTGCGGGTGGGGCCTCGACCTCCTGCTGACCAGCCGGTTGCTACTGCCTCTTCTTGGTCGGACTTTGTGCTTGCAACCGGGACTCGACACCGGCGACTTAGGACCAGGGCGGACCAAGCACCGGAACTTACAAGAAGATGATGAGAAATCGTAGGGGAGAAACACAAGCTGCTCGTGCTGCTCTGCCCGAAGACGGCGAAGGGGGGCCGGGGGCCCTCTTTATACTTGCCCACTGGTTTGAAGCCTGAGCCTGAGGTCTCTCTCTCTTTTCCTCTCTTCCCGTCTTTCGCCTGGGTTGTCCGTACAATCAATCTCACGGACCAGGGTCGAAGTTCTGCCCGTCCAACCGAGAGATCGGTCTTTCATTCATTCCCCCCTCCAACTATCGACCCATCCACCTCATTTTAGTGTACAAGTTTTCAACGCTAATACCGTGGTGTTTGCATCGGTGACTCAATGTCCACCTGCCTTTTCATCCGGCAACCAGTAGTCGTTAACCTATTACAGCGAAGCCATCAAAACCATCCACCACAGCCATATCTTTACCTGTCGAGAGGTTTGTCATGTAACACGGTACTTGGATGACGGAATAGTTGGTTCGCATCTTAACTCCGATATTTCGATGCACCCACCACAACCGTGCAGGCAACAATGCCAGACCCGCCTATCAGCATGAAGCCATCTCTACCCCAACTTTTCTGTGTCAGTTCCAATTCACCGAGGTTCCCGCGTTCCTAATTGCCAAACTTATTGGGCCAATCAGGCTCAACTACGACAATTTTATGAAGCATTTGATCAACATGCCTTACTTCACGATCTCCAGTTTTACAAACAACGCAGCCGTGCAATTCATTGGATAAGTGATCACAATACCGCCCGTGAAATTTATTCAGATACATGGCAAAAGCATCTACAGTATCATACACACCTGGGAATCATCCCGATGACATATCCCAACACCATCTATTGGTTTTCCCCGGTCCAAACCGCGCGGCCATCCTCGTTCGTTAGGACCTTACGGCCCACAATCTCCTTGACTACCGCCTCAACACCCTGTCGGTTATTATTCGAGTCGACAACCTTCTTAATGACCTCCTCAGGTGTGTGCTGGCCCTGGAGCACGTACTTTTGTACATCGGCCTCGGTCGGCAGACCAAAGTATTTGTAGGGGTACTCCTTGTAGCTCCGGTTGTTCAGCAGCTCAATGTCCTCTCCGCTGGCCTCGAAGAAGGGATCCGTTATGTTCATCTGAGGCTTGATCTCCTCCAGAGTAGCAGGCTTCCATACCGGGTCCCTCTTCTCAATCAGCAACGCAGTCACACCCTCGGTGAACTCGCCCTGCTGCATGAACTTCTCTGCAATCTTGTGCTCGCGCTTGAAAGTTTCAGCGATTGACCAAGAGCTACCGATGCGCATTTGCCTCAGCGCAACGTTGACGGCCGTAGGCGACCGCTTGTGCAGCGTCTCGATCGTCTTCGCGGCCCACTGCTTCGTCGAGCCCTTCTCAGCCTTGAGGGCCTTGATGATGGCGCCGATGTTGCTCCGGCTGAAGCAGCGGTCGATGGCCTTGCGCAGGTCGCCGCCAAGAAGAATGGGCTCGTCGTGGGGGAGACCAGTGGCATACTCCTCGAGGGTTTGGTTGACAATTTGAAGGCGCTTCTCCAGTGAGTCGTGGTCGCGGAATCGAATTTCGGCAAGACGGGCCTCTACCTGTGGCAGAGAGGTCGAGTGGAGGTAGTGCGTGGCCACGCCAGAGTAGAAGACGTTGGCGCCCTTGAGTCTCTCGCTCGTCAGGGCAAGGTACGTGCCGATGGAGCCGGCCATTCGGGGCAGGAAGAACGAGGCACCAACATCGGGGAAGAAACCAATCGTCGTCTCGGGCATGGCGAAGAGTGTGCGCTCGGTGGCGACGCGGAACGGCGCGTGGATGCTCAGACCAACACCGCCGCCCATGGTGATACCGTCCATGAAGGCAACATAGGGCTTCTTATACGTCGCGATGTAGTGGTCCAGCTTGTACTCGAGCTCGAAGTATTTTGCGCTCCGCTTCCATCCGTCCTCAAACTTGTTCCACTTTGCCAGTGCGGCGACGTCCCCGCCGGCGCAGAAGGCCTTTTCGCCTGCTCCCTTCATGACCACCACGTTCGCCAGGTCTGACTTTTCCCACTCGACCAATCTTGGCAGAATTTTGCGAATCATGCTTCCGTCCAGGGAGTTGAGTTTCTTCGGGCGGTTAAGCTCGATGGTCCTCAGACCGTAACTGCTGGTGAACATGACATCGTCAGGGTCATCCTTGGCCTTCTGCTCAAACCCTTTCGGAATTTGCGTCGACATCTGTTGAAGGGTGGTGTTAGTCAACGTCGTCGACAATATAACAGCAACATAGAATTATCGACTCACTTGTGCGCGTGATGAGGCCTCCGCGCCGATGATTTTGGCTTTGAGAGGCATACCGAAGCTCCTGGTGCAGCTCCGGCAAGGAGCAGCTAACGCTGCCGGCCCGGCTCTAAGTGCGATCGTCCTCGAGAACATTTGTCTACTACCAGCTGCCAATGCGCTCGTCTAGGACAAGCGATGCATCGACTGACGGATAGTGGGCTTGTGGTAGACGGGCGGGAGGGGAGGGAGGGAAGGGGGGATGGTGGTAAAGGAGCTTCGATTTAGGTGATGTCGCGGGAACGGTTTTCCAAAGCTCTTCTCCACGTCAAATTCGAGGCCGAGAATAACCATGGGTCTGTCGGGTAAGGCAATTGGGGACAGCGACTTACGCACTGACCAGGGTGGTGCGCCCGGTAGGAAAACCCCACTAGACCTCGGGCTTGCACATGGCTGAGGTGCAAGCTTTCCAGTGCAGCTTCGCCTGTAAATTTTGGACGGGGACACTTTTTCCAGCGCCGACATCACTGAAGCTGTCGGCCAATCAGAGCACCTGTGCGCCATCACGGTAAGCCGCGAGACTGCCAAACTCTTTCAGCCTTGCTGTGTGTACCTTGGCCTGCACCCAAAGACGTTGTCGCGACATACACCATCAACACCCCCCACGACCATCCTCACCAGACTACCGCCCATCATGTCGACCGATCCCAAGATTCAGTGCGTTTCCGTTCCTATCCCCGCATGGAGGTTCTTCCATTGAGGCTAACACGTGAACCTACAGGGAGCTTCTAACCAAGTCGCGCAACGAGTTGACCGAGTACGAGATCGCACAGCTCGAAGAGCACGAGTTCAGCGCCGGACCCCTCTCCATCCTCCAGACCGCCGTCCGCAGTCACACCCAGGTCCTCATCTCCATCAGAAACAACCGAAAGCTCCTTGCGCGCGTCAAGGCCTTTGACAGACACTGCAACATGGTTCTCGAGAACGTCAAGGTGCGACAACTCCTTACCTTACCCGTCACAAGAGACTACGAAGACCGACGCTGACGTTGGAATATTGTAGGAAATGTGGACAGAGACGCCGCGTCTTGCGAACGGCAAGAAGGGCCGTCCTGTGAACAAGGACCGCTTCATCAGCAAGATGTCAGTTGATGCCCCGCCCCCTGCGCCACCGCGCCGATTCCCAAGAGGCAGAAGCTAATATCCACACAGGTTCCTCCGTGGTGATAGCGTCATCCTGGTGCTTTTGAGCTGAACGAACTCAACGATCGTGAACGCGAAGGGGTTGAGTGTGCTGGTCTTTTTAAACGGCCCTCTACGATAAATGTCTGGATCACGTACAAGAACCGTGGAGTTCAAGAAAACGGGGAGAACGGGAGACTACATTATCCGGCCATATGAAGAAATATGCCTCGGCGAAATGGACTGGGAGCCTGAATGAGATACATGGTACTGGGGCTTGCCGTACCCTATCGTATGAGAGAGAGGCTGGGGGAGAGCAGCGGACGAACCAAAAACTTGAGCGGAACGAGTTTCGCATAAATACCCACGGTAAAGTGGTTTCTGTTTCAAAATGGGATGAGATAGGCGTTGAAGACAAAATGGATCATTTGGGTTCTTTTCATTTTCTCCCTCGCGCTTTGTGCATTCTACCGATTTCCAAGCCTTTGTGCAACCACAAATTCCCCCTATCCGATTCACTTATCCAGGAAAATTACTACTAAAACAAGCGCGATATCCGTCCTTACATAGAAAGACAGCTTTTAACATCTCGGGACCCAGCATCTGTTCATCTACAGCTTCTCCCACCCATCCTCACCCTCAATGCCCGCCAACCCACCAAAGAAGCAGCTCAACCCCCACGCGCCAGGGTCAGGCACCTGCTCGAACCCAGAGCCGCCGACGTACACAGTCCTTCCCAGGCTGGCCTTCATGCCCTTTGTCGTCTCCGCGCCCGCCCGCGCCGCCTCGGCCGCCTTCTTGACGTCGCCCGTCTCGCCGAGGACCTCGACAAAGGGGTACAGCGCGTCTACGAGGGTGCGGTCGCCCGGGCGCGCGGGCGTGTACCGCGACATGGCGTCGCTGCTCTGCTTCAGGGCGGCGGCCCACGTTTTCCCGTCCGCGGTGCCGGGGGATAGGCTGCGCAGGGCGGCGGTGAGGGCGTTGAGGAAGATTGCGTAGAGGGCGCCCGAGGTGCCGTCCATTGTGTTCTCGACGACGGGGACCACGGAGGCGAGGTCGACGACGGCGTCGCCTGTTAGGGGGTTCTGTGAGATATGCTTGAGGATTGCTGGTGAATTGTGAAGCGTGTTAGCGGACAGTGCATGCATAGTGTGACAATCCAGATGATGGCGATAAGTTCGGTCTCTTACCTTCAGCTCCTCTCTTCAGACCGATGCCGCAGTCGCCGTCACCGACGACGGTATCATACCTAGTCACCTCGGGCTCGGCCGCGATAACCCTCTGCAGCCCCCCCGTGACAGCCTTGGTCGCCGCCGCAGCATCGTACTTGAGATCGCTCGGCTTCGTCGCCTGCCCGGCGTCCGCCGCCTCCTCCCGCGTGGCCTGGTTCTTGGCCTCCCACGTCTCCTTGAGGATGGGCGACGACCAGCCCGTGGCCTCGGTCGGGTAATCGAGCAGCTGGGTCATGCTCGGGCCGCCGATGTCCGTGTTGACGACGTTGAGCAGCGAAATACTGAAACCGAGGCCGTTGAGACTCGTCATGTACGTCCCGCTCAGGATCCTCACGGGCCGAATCCCATAGCTGCCCTCCAGCTGCGCGGCAACCTCAGCCGTGATACCCCCGAGCTCGAGCGCGCTCACGCCACCGAGGTTGTTGATCAGCAGCACGACCTCATTCGAGTTAACGTTCAAGAAAGCCCTGTCCTTGTCGCCCTGGTCCAGCAGCTGCGTGAGCATCTTGCCCACCAACCCTTCCAGATCCGCGCTCTCCCGACCGGAGCCGGGCTCATTGTGAATCCCCATGCCCAGCTCCGCCTCACCAAGCTTCAGCGCGCCCTCCTCCTCGCCGCTCGGCACCGCGCGCCCGGGAACGTGAACGTGCTCCAAGCTCGCGCCGACGCTGACGAGGTTCTCGGCCGTTAGCCGCGCAACTTTCGCGACCTCGGCCAGCGGCCGACCCTGCGCCGCGAGCGCGCCGGCAATCTTGTGCACGAGCACCGTGCCCGCGATGCCCCTCCGTCCGACTTTACCGGCTTTGGCCCGTCCGACGCCGACGTCGTCGCCGACGACAACCATTTCGACATCGAGACCGCTGGCGCGGGCCTTTTCGACGGCCATGCCAAAGTTGAGCACGTCACCGGTATAGTTCATGACCGTCACGAGAACGCCGGCGCCGGTATCGACGCGCGAGGCGACGGCCGTTCGGACCTGTTCTGCGCTCGGGCTGGCGAAGATGGTGCCGGCCACGGCGGCGGAGAGGAGGCCCTGGCCGACCATGGCGGCGAAGGAGGGCTCGTGCCCGGAGCCGCCGCCCGAGACGACGGAGACGGTTTTCTTATTGTTGTTGTGGGCGGCATCGGGTGTCGGTCTGCGGTAGATGATCTTGTTGGGCTCGTCGAGGGCCAGGCTCGGGTTTGTGAGGGTGAGGCTGTGGAGGGCCTGGTTGACCAGCTTGGTTGGGTCGTTGATGAAGTGTTTGGCTGACATTTTTGAAGGTGTGCTTTTTTTGCTTCGGATATGTTTTGCCTGGTGATGATGATGGGGTGATATGTGTTGTGGTATGGTGTGATGCCCAGATAAGATGAAGCTTTTCTCTAGCTTGGACAAAGTCACCTCTGATAATGGTGCTTTTGAAGTTGAGATAGAGCCAAATGATCTAAGATTGTCCTCGGATTCAGATATGAGGGGATGGTAGTAGTTGAGTCGGGAGATGAGGAGAGAACGAGAGAGCAAGCCTTCTCATTCACAAGGCAAACGGGGGAACAACCCGAGTCTATGTAAGTCGGCCCCAAGGGACCGAGCAATTGGACGACCATGACGTCCCACCCGAACTTCGTTCTCTCTCCAATGTTCTTCTTAGGTCCAGATCCTCAGTGGTCCTCTTTTTCCCACCTACGTTCCCAACAGCTCCGCGCCGCGGGGTCGGGTGTGATGTACCTTGTGCAGGGCCCGCGGGGGTGGAAACGTCACCTCATCCGGCAAGCGCAAGCGCCCCGGGGTCTCGCCGATGTCGTTACCAACTTACCAGTTTTTGTTTGCACTGTACGAATTGGGAGATTTTAACCTCGCGCAACGCTAAAAGAAAATGAAGAGTAAAAATTTGAGCGGTTCACGACAGCAAGTGTTGCCGAGTGGGAGCCTTCCTGACTTGGCCTTCAATTTTGATACAGTATAAGCGCTCTTTGTCGTTGAGTGGTCTTTGCGAAGCGACTGCTTGTGCATGCTCTAGAGTTTGGGGTGTGAGGGAAAGTCTAGGCGACGGAGCATTGGAGACCAGATTGGCATCATGAAAATAAAATGTGTATATGTAAATGTATGTGTATGTAGGGTATATCGTAAACCCGAACCTTCTTCTGGATAGAGGTCTGTTACATTTGTTGCCGCCCACATACCAATGCCAGTATATCATGATAGACTGCTATCAAAGCTAGTCTTTTCCTCCCAAAAAAACGCCTCATCCCATGCCGTTGCCAGATTAAATTGTTCGACCGAGAACCCGAGTACTGAAAAAATGCTGCTGAATCAAACTACCATGCCCTTTCTCATTTCATGATGAAAAAGCACCCGGCCACGATACTCAAAGTAATAGCCGTTGTAGCAAATCCAGCAGCCACTTTATCCTTGGTCTCGATCGGCGGCAACGTAGGGATCTTGGGCTGCGAGCTCATGCCGGCATTGGCATTGCCCACCGACGTGCCGCCCGTGTCCGCAGTCACCGGCGCCGTCTTGGTGTCCGCTTTCTTCACGAGCATGTACATGGTGGCGTCGAGCGCGTTCATCTGCGCACCCACGCCGACCTGGCCGTCGAACTGGCCCTTGGGCACCCATTGGAATCCGCACGCCGTGCCCGGTTGTCCCTTGTAACCCGTAGCCGGCGACCCGTTGCACGCGGCGATGGCGAGTTCGGCGCTGGGCCGGAGGAGGCCCATGATCTTGTCGAACAGGGAGGGCACCACCTGCGCCGTTCCGGCCATCCACCTCGTGAAGTACCCTTTGAAACTTTGCTGGTCCTGGTCGCACAGCTTGAATGCCTCGCAGGCCTGCTCGAACATGGCAGTCTGGTTGAAGAACAGGGTCGTCGCTTCCGTCAGCACGCCCTCGGTTCGCGTCAACCACTTCTTGTCCTGGGTCAAGTTGTACATGGTCGCGGCACCGTGCAGGAAGATACCCGCGTTGTACGACCACTGGATCGTGTCGATATCCTTGCAGTTCATCCCGTTGTCGACCGTGGCACCATCGTAAATCTTGAACTCGGGCGTGATCAGACCAACGCTTGTCTCCCAGTCCCATATCTTCTCCGCCCAGTCCGCATACGTCTGGTTGCCGGTAAACCGCGCTAGTCGAGCCGCAATGTTGAAGAAGCATCCGTTCGAAATCGAGTTCTTGTAGTTGAAGCCGTTGTTGAACGTGAAGATCTGCCACCGCAATCCACCGCCGCACGTCTCCATATCCCAGCGGCTGACGTATTGGTTGAAGGTAGCCTGCGCGAGTGCCAGCCACTGAGGCTTGTCTGATGGAGGGTTTGGGAAGTTGTTTTCCGCCGCGCTCATCGCCGCCATGGCCCAGAATCCTTGGTCATCATTTCCTTCCGTCCTCGTCTGGTTTCTCGGCATGAAGTCGGCATCATCGCCTGCCTGATGAAGCAGTGCTTGTGTTGTTACTGCGTTGTATGTATCGTCTCCCGTCAGGCGCCAGTAATCCACCATTGTGCCGAACATCGCTCCAGCCTCCCACCCTGATGCTTTGTTAGAATAGAGTTGGATATAGAATCCCTCGATGAAATCTCTTACAGAAGTACGGGTCTGGCAAGTTGCCCGGTGTGTCGCCAGTGTTGTTTCCTGTGTAGAACTTCAACAAGCCGAAGGCTATTGTGCTTGCACCATCCTTGATGGACTGGTCTTGGTCAAAGTTGATCTTGACAGTCGCGTCCGCAAGCTGGCCCAGCACGCATGCCGCGCCAGCAATCTTCAAGAACCCCCGCATGATTGACTGTGAGTTGCAAGTTGTCGTCGTCGTCAGGGTAAAGATTGTGATTCGTTATGTGAGATCAGACCGAGACCGCAGCTCCTTCGTGGGTAATGTTTGTTGCCTGTCGTCTTGGCTCTCGATGTGACCGTGCCAGACAGATAGTTGGTTCAGTTGGCTATAAAGGGATAAAGAATAACGTAAAAATAAATCACCAACAAAACTCGTTTACTCAAAATGTCTCCTGGACTGCGAAGGGAAAGATTAAACAAGAGAAGCCTGAAACAACCCGTACACAACGAGAGCACTCGACCAGGAGTAAAGAATGGAATAGACTTGTAAACAAGTCTTCGTAACGGTCTCGCGTTGACGAAAAAGGAGAGGAATGCTTCAGAGACAATAGTCAATGAAGCCGAGATGGGGCATAGGAGGGTAGGGTTGGGGGAAAAGAGAAAGAGACCAGAATGACGTGAAGGAGAACAACAAGAGATACAGCCTGGAAGGAAAGGAGGGGACTTCCACCACCCATGACTGAGTTTGGACGACTTCGTCGAACACCCAACGTCGTGACCGATTTTCTGCTGCGTCAACCCCCGTACACGACGTTTCCGAACCCCAGGCGCCCTTGCCACCGTGTCGCACCGCCATGAACTCTCCACCCCTTTTTCCACCGTCACAGGACACAGTAGTGTAGGTAGACAGCGACGATAAGAGACAGGGACTGTGATGTTGTGGGCGAGAAGCGAGGCGAGCGAGGCTGTGCGTTCGGGTACGGGGAGAGATGAAACCGTTGCGGTTGCGAACTTGGCAGCCTCTCCGTCTCAAGATTGGCCGCGGAACCCCCTTGCGACCACAGACGTGTAACCGGAAGCCAAAAGAGACGAGTAAACATTTTAGACTTGTATGCCAAGCCTCTGGAAGATCTGGATCTCTTTGGCGGATTGGTGGATTGGTTCGCTGCTTTTGCAGCGGGTTGAGCAAAGGGTTTCCTGAGTTTGGGGCCCTCCATCACGATGAGTTCGCGATACAGAACTCGTATTGGAGAAATGGGGAACCGATCATCCGCTCCTCTCTCTGTCGCTCTAAACTTGGAAGTTCTGTGGGTAATGATCCGACCTTTTCGGGGGCAGTAGATGCAGATTTTGCTCCTCTACGACTCCACGACAGGAACCCGAATACACTGGACGACGCATAGCTGCGGGCGAACTTGCAGTCGTGCAGACGGGAATCCGATGTTGCTTGATGCAGTCCTTCTGTGCGCAATGTAGTTCCAAAGGTTGGGATCTTTTTTGACGTTCGGCAAAGTTGGCTGTCACACATGCAACGTCCAGGATTATCTGAGGGAACAGGGCCCGTGCTTCACACCCCTTCTCGCATCTTTCTTCCACTCGTCAATGAGGGAACCGCTGCATCACTATTTTCGGTCTCGCCTGCCAACTGCGATGTTGGGATGGTTCATGGCTTGTTGTGGCTCAACCAAAAAACCCCAAAAAGATGTTCTGCGCCACATATGCCGGGTTTTCCCTTTCTCGCAATGCATTACTGTTCAGGGTTCGTAAAGGAGAAGGACAAATATCTCAAATATGTACCACACCCTCGTGCTAGTTAGTCCCTTTCCATCTTTGATCGACCGAGGCGAGCCCAAGTCAATACTCAAAACGACTGTTGAGCAAGCACTTGGACCGCGGATCCCGAGGTACGAGATCGACCTTTTTACTCCGGACACATGGGTCACTTGATCAAACCTCATCTACGGAGTATTGTTGTTTTCGTGGGCAAGTAAGATTCATCAAAGTACCGCATCGTGTCACCGAAACAGATAGAGTGATAGACCAGCATAAGACCGCAGCTGCGATTCGGACCTCTAACAAAAGAAAGCACAACGCAGACGTCCACCTCATACACCATAAATATTCCGGAGCCGTTAGCCGTCAGCCTAGAGTCATAACATGACGCCGCAGAGTCGTAGCAGCCACCCATCTGCAAGTCCTACCGTTTCGGGAAACCGTTGGACCGGTCGTCTTGCTTTTGTGGTTCCGAGACCTTGATAGACGGAGCGGGTGTATCACAACGCATGCGAAGCTCACCCGTCAAAAATCAGCACCTTGGTTGGACAAGAGCCGTCCGGTCCGCTTCCATAGGCATTCTTCTTTCTTGAGCGATGGAGAGCCATATGAACACCGAGCCGAATGGTCCATGGACCTTCCCCATGGTTAAGTGTCCAGCATTATCAATGCTTTCAGTAGAGTTCACAGGTTGGACCTAAACATCTCGTCTCACATATATGAGTGACTGTATATTCACAACCTTAATTGGCACCCTATCGAGAGAAACGAGAATCAATCATTAACCGACCGAGAAAAGTTTTGTTAAACAAGTAAGCCCGAGGCTCGAAGAAAAGGTACACCATAATTACGCATCATGACAAAGCTCTCAACAATCACAATGGCTGTTCCAATTTCATACAGACGATTATTCTCTCCATGTACTCATAAGTCTCCTAGAGGCTGTATGGCGATCCAGGCCGTGGTATAAGCTGATCCTTACCACATGCTCGTCCGTTTCTCATGTTCATTTCATTCATACGCATTCATCATTCCCATTTTTCCCATTCCTGAAGCAGCTTCTTGCTCTCCTCTCGAGCCCACTGGGTCCTCTCCTGCTCTAGTTTTGCCATCCTCTTGTACGTCTCCGCAAATATCTTTTGCCGCTCAATCACCTTGGCCTCGAGGTACTTGGGTTCATTAAGACGGCAGGATTTGTCGAAGACGGCCCTCATTCTGATGGAATACAGCTGACACGACGCCTCTTCTAAGCGTTGTGGCTTCACATAAAAGTTCCTCGCAATGACGTTGCCGTCTTTTAATTGAGGCGCCACCACCTCGTCGAAACAGTCACCGCAGACGGTGAACTGGGGAAGGAATTGCATGACGTGCCAGTTTTGATCATAGACTGGGTTGTCCTTGGAGCACTCTGCAAACACGGAAAGGTTTTCAATGTCTGTCACAAGCTTCCCAATGTTAGGCGCTTGGGTTGTTGCGAGGGCGAGATCCGAAGTCGTCTCAAGCGCATCGAAATACATCACGAAACGCTTTCGATCGGGGTTAAAGTGCATCGAGCACACGCTCCTCGTGGGCTGTGCCGTGGGATGGAGCGTAACGAACAGGCCTATCAGGTTGGGTAGGAGCGCCTCGATGGTTTTGGCACATTCGTAACAGACGGTGAAGTCTGGCATCGTCATCTGCGTATACGGGTTCTTGATCGAGTACCAAACGCGGGTATTCCGACGGTCTCCCGAACAGGGCTGAATGCTAGTAGTCGCTTTGCTGGTGACATTGGCGACCTGATAGAATAGGCGCAAGTCCGTCAAACGATTCTTCAACGTCAACAGCCACGCAATGTGATACCACCCAATGGAGCCGAAATCGCAGGCAATTGGCTTGTCCATCGGTCGGAACAACATGGGCATAAAGTCGTTGCGGAATTCGGTGTTGAGGAACACCCCGTTGTAGCAGTCTGGACAGATGTTGAAGTTGTCGCACCTTGGCAAACTAAGCCAATCGGCCTTGCCTACAATGCCCTTCTTCCGAGGGCAATCGGGGAAATCCGATACGCCACCGCGGTCTGCATCGTGCGAGTATCGTCGGTAGCTACCTCTCGGGCCGTCGACGACCGGCGCGCTCTTCGCCGGGTCAAACTTGGCTGGTGGCCATGCCTCCATTGGCGGAATTGTTTGACTCAGATTGGCCCTTCTCTCAGGCGATCGTCTTTTCTCTGTTGGGCTCCGTGGTCCAGCAGGAGCAGGCATGGCAGGCATGACCGCTGGTACTATCACTGGATTGTGAAAGGTAGATGCCCGAGACCTTGATCGCGCTCTCGAGGGACGCGACTCGGGATCGCGGACGCTGAGGCGACTAATTCTAGGCAATATATCGTCATCAGGGTACGGAACAGACTTCTCCTTGATATCTCCATTATCCCTGGATTCCCTCGTCACTGGAAATGTTTGTGAAGATCGAGGCGGAGGAGGAGGCGGAATGTCGTCAGCGAACGACTTTGTGGAGACTCGTGGAGATGGCATCACAACTTCTGCCGGGGAAGGCCGCGATCTCGACCTGGCCGACTGAGACGGCTTGAGCTGAGCAGGACTCAGCAATATGTCCTTGTCTTCTTGATCTACAATCGACTTTCTCCGCCGAATATTGGCTGTCCGTGGAGTTTGCGTGTAATCGCTGCTGCTGGAGCCACTGTCATCCCGGCGTCGTGGAGTATCGCGCTTGGAATTGGATGTGCGCTTCGAACCACCATCGCGCTCACGCTCGCGCTCGCGATCCGAACGATCATAGGGCGGTGAAGGATCCTTCTTTTGTGGGCGTTCGCCACGCGGTACGACCCGTTCTCGTTGGTAGCGAGGAGATTCGTTCAACCTGTCGCCGGATGCAACTCTTGACTCCTTGGGAGGAGAGTCAATATTAGTGTTGGAGCGACGCGTCGGCGGCGGGTTCGATGATGCATTTTGACGTGTGTATTTGTCGTCGAACCTTCTGCTGTCATCGGCCAGGTTCGAGCGGCTTCTCTGGGGCCGCGGTGCACCATTCCGACCAGATTGCGAATAGTCGTAATACGCTTTTTCGCGCCCACCTGTTGCATGCTTGATCACTTGTGGTGAGAGAAGAGGCTCCTTGGGCTGTCTGTTGTCGTCCTGTGGTGAGAAGTAATCGGCTGATTGCTGCTCCACGCGAGTCGCAGATTTTGTTCGTTCGTGCTTCCGAGGCCGGCTTTGCTCGTCCTTGACATCAGTTTCAATGCGTGGAAGCTCTTGTCTGCTCTTCTTCTTTTCGAGGTCCGGTCGCTTGTGGTGATTCAGATCTTCTGTTGGAGGTGCCCGGTATTTTCTGCCAGTGTTCGCCTCGTAGTTTGCTCCGTAGTCGCCCGTGATCTCAGGCTTCGCATGACGCGAGCGTTCGGCGGCGCGAGCCTTGGCGTCGTCTGACGAATCTTCGTCCTCTGTCCCGCTCGCAGACTTTGGTACCAGGACGAATCGACGTTCAGGGTTGTGTTCGTGTACCTCCATTATGATGGGGTATTGATCGGCGTCACCTCGCGATGGAGGCTCGGTGTCGCTGATGAGTGAGGCAGTGCTGCCGTGCTCTTTTTGGAGTGCTTCGGTCTCATCTTCGACGGTTGGCGGGGGCGGAAAGTGTTTGCGACGGGTGAGCCTCAATGGCGGGTCGAAGGTTCTGGGTACCAGCGGATCCGGGTTGGAGGCCGGTCGGGTAATATTGGAGATGCTGGAGACATGAGGAGGAACGGCCGGAGCATCCGTGATAGGTCTGTGACTTGTGTAAGACGTGATATACAGCACAGACGTAAGGACAAATGGGCTTACTGCTTGGGGGTTTTAGCCCTAGAGGTTGTAAAGAAGCCCGTCTGTAAAAGATCTTCTATGTTGCGTGATTCGCTCATATTCGGAGAGTTGTAGTGCCAGATGGGAACGAAAACTCAGACAAATTGTCGGGACTTTGAAGGCATCGTGTGTCTCTGTAGCTGACGAGGACGGGAGCGAAAGACCCCGGTCTCTCAGGCGGTCGTCGCAGCCTTGCGCAACGTTTCGTTTCTTCAGTTGAGGTGTGTTTTCTGGCCGTAGTCGTACTGACTGTAATTATGGCAGCCAGCAATGTTTATTGTCCAGGTAAGATATGTATGGATCGAGATATAAGTAGCGGTGTCGCGTCAGCGAAAGCGAAAGCAGACCCGGTCAAGGACGAGTAAGAGTTGAGAAGCGTTCCGACTGGCCGGGCGGTGGGGGGGAGTTGTCGATGTTAAGGTTGAAAGAAACCTAAGAGATGCGGAAGATTTCTACCACCACGAATTCCCCAAAGACGGCTGGGGGTTAGAAAGACGGGCTAGATTAAAGAAGGCGTCTTGTTTGGTGTCAGGAGGGGAGCGGAAGGGTGGGATGTGGGAAGCGTTGAAGATGCGGCGTAGGTTCAAGTCCTTATTTGAACATGGCCGACAGGGGGGGTGGATGATGGGGAGGGGGGGCAGGAGCAACTGAGGGTGGGAAAGTGTTGTCGTTTTGGTGCCCCTCCATGATGACGGGGTGCGGCGCAGGTGTGCAGGCTAGAGGTAATTTGTATCCCCACCCGGGCTGGGCTGCTGTGGTGCGTGGTGTCTGTGGTGCTGGCTGCTGCTGGCTGCTGTTGTGCACGCGTGTGTTTTTCCCGGAGCGGGCTGGGCTGTCTTTCCTGCCGTCCTACGGATAGATACCTACCTTACTGAGGTGGACAGATCCATGTTACTCCGTACCGTAAGGTACCGTAGGTAAGGTAGTCAGGACGGATACCAAGATACCTCAGCCGGAAAGCAGGCACGTAGGAAGGGCCTTCCTGGTTCTTGTCATCCAGTCAGCCAGCTCAGTGCCCCCCCAGCTGCCCTGGGCGTTCGATGGCTCTTTCCAGGATTGCCTGTTCGGTGCCCTCCGCCGTCGCCATTCAGGGCAGGAACACAGCTTCACAGTCAGTGCCCTGCGGTCACCGAGGTGACACCGTTCCCAAGAACGCAACTCTCTGATGTTGGATTCAGAGTTTGGGGGCACGGGAAGATCCTCTCGCGCCTTATCACAACAAACCTGCCGCTCTGGGCCCGGATGACCGAACTATAGCCTCCCAGCCTCACATATTCCTCTTGTTCGGCCAGCCAACTGACTGTCTGTGGGAGACCACCAAGGCCATTGCATTGCCGTCTTCCAAGTTCCAACAACAAACAAACCTCGCCAGGTTTCCCTCTCCACCTGCAGCCATGCAGCCGATGTGTTGTTCGCCTACAGAAATTCTATTCTCTTCTCTTTGCGAATACCTGCTCTGTCACACTGAGTGTCTGTCTAGGAATACAAAAGTACAACCAGACACAAATCATTACTCAACTTTTCGGAATGGATGGTGGCGATGACTCGATCCGAGAGGCAGCATTTCCACACTTTCTTTCGCCCTTGCTACTCGCCCTCCCCGACCTGCATACAAATGATGGCAAGATGGCCATGCCCACGGCGCATCGTGCAGATGGAGCCCTTTAGCCCCCCTCCAACGTCCAAGGCCAAAGCCTAACAAACGTTCGAGCGTGCGGATGGCCCAAGGCCAAAGTGCATCGGCATCGACCTGTATCCACTTTCCACCCGGTTCTCACGTCCGGCCTACCTAGCTTGATACCTTCTTGCATATGCCGGGAACCTGTTTAGGGCAACTGACGCTGTCGATTCGATCATCCACCTGCGATGAGGCCTGACACGGTACCACGACAGCCTGCCGTCCCTGCCTGCATTTCAACCTATTCACGGTTGCACGGATTTGCCCTGACGGGGCTCGACCCTGATCTTTGCATACCTATCTGGTTACGAAGCTCATCTACAGATACCCTGGTCTACATCCTCGTCTCAAGATGAAGACGAATTGACTGTAATTTGTTGGTTGTGGTCAAACAAGAACATCTGACGACTAGGACAAGCTAAGCATACGGTTACGAGGCTTCTCCTAACGAAACTCCAACGGTCCATCTGCCATTGGCCCAGAGCGACAGCAGCATGCGCCACGCGGCGTTTCCGTGTAGGTACTCTTGGTGAGGTCAGGTAACGGCCGACTAGTCGCCGTACAGGTGAGGAGCGAGGCTTAGTCTACGTTGGATCCCATGCCTGGCACCACGGTCAATTCCCAAGGCTCGCCCTTTTGGTATCCGGATGCCGACCTGCCCGTTTGTTCTACGATGTGACGAAAGCCGGAGATCAACCTACACTTTCCATTCCCGCGGACGACATTGAGTTCGTATCTTGGCGATAAGACGGGGCATCGGTCCTTCGCAACATGTCTTTTATCCGCCCGTTACATTGTCCCAGGTAGTTTCGCAAACAATGTGAAGCGAAACGCATCGCCCCTTATCTTGCGTTTCTAGCACTAATTCATGACAGAGATGATGCAGCATCCCAGGCCACCTTACGTATCTCTTTTTGAAAAGTTAGCAGAGATGTTGTGGCCATGTCAGACGCCGTCCTACCCACCCTCACACCCACCTTCAGGCTTCGAGACTCGCCTCTTCTCTCTCCCCCTCCATCCCACAACGGGGTCATGCACACGGCTAGCTGCCGCGAGTGGTGGATAGCAAAAGTCTACCTTTTCTAGAACACTCAAAGTCTCCGACGTCTTAGAGCTGCAGCTATCTACGCCAGCTCGTCATTCAGACTGCCATCGACACCCTTCACTTCCGATGATCTGCACTGAGAAAGAGCGGTGGGATTTCAGTGCAACATTTCTCACGCCACAATAACGGCCCCCGTTTAATATGATCAAAAGCTCGAGTTTTGGACGACTTTGACATTGCAAATCACTTAAAGATCTCAAGTCAATTGTGCCGAAGCTAACTACTGTCGCCCCTGATTGTGGTTATCCAAGCTCTTCAGACACCGTGCATTTTGCCTCGTCTAGCATGGATACAAGCCTATCTTTGGGGCCACGGCCGTTCCCTGACGTCTTTGTATAGCATCAATTCTGGTACAGTTTCACGACGCCTTCCACTTGCCTAGGAACAAGGAGGCATTCAGGCCCAACACGGACCGTACCACTGCCCAAAGTTCCACAGACCTCTCCGCCTCCGGCATCCAACGTGCCTAACTCCTGTCGATTTACCGCTGACACTCGACTGCGACTTGGCCAGCTGTGGGGAATCCAGGCCAAACTCACAGCCATCGGGAGCTGTGCTGTTGTATTCTGCGAGTCTGTTCTGCAAGAGCAGCTTTGGCTAGCCTTTACTGCGCCACAGACTTGAGAGACTCAGGGCTGACCGGAGAGCGTGCTTGAGAAGTCCAAGCTCCGGAGCGGACAGGCCAGCCGCGTATGACTGCTTCGGCCGGGGGAGCAATGCAGCTGCCGCACGACCACAACGGAAATATGGATGGCTGGGCGAGCCTTATCCGGTCTCTACGTGGGTGAAGCCGCGCAAGCCAAACCTGAGCGAGAAAAAGCCGACGCCGAATAAGGCGACCAAGAGAATGGCCCCTCCCTGCAGAGGTTCCGAGATGACTCCTCTGACGACCAACAGGCCACTGATGGCGCTGAAGATGACAGGATTGATGAGCCAAGTGCTATACTCGGCAGCCTTCGCCCCCGGCATGCGGCCGTCTCTCCTACGGAGAAGGATGAGTCCAATGGCCGACGAGAAGAAGATCATGTAAGCCGCCAGTCCTGGACCATGTGTCAGTTGATAATCCTGTGCGATCGCTTTCCAAACGAAGAGGCTCACCAATGAAAGTGACGAGCCCATTGAAGCTTCCGACAGCTACATATACGATTGACAAGGCACAGTTAAGCATGAGGGGAAGTAACGGCACGTTTCTCCTCCACCGACGATTCTGAGTCCAAGACAAGAAACCCCTAATGGGTCCTCGGACCAGTCTTGGCGCAGATGCGAGATATTCGTCGACACACGCAGCCTCGTCCTTTTCGTGACTACAGTGAAGATTTGTCAGGATCGAAGGGAAATATCCCCTTTGACTAGCAACAACGACGAGCTTGGCAGTCGCAAACACGTTGGAGTTCAAAGCACCCATTGCCGAGATGGATACTATGATGCAAAAGAGAAGCCCAGCCCAGGTTCCAAGTATCCTGTTCGCGAACTCCTATTCTTGAGTCAGCCTGACGATCATACTAATCCGGCTCACTTGATACTTACCACAGCGACAGTGCTGCTCGTCTGCATGACGCTCATCGGCAGGCAGACATACAGAGCCGCATTCATCAGCATGAAGCCGATGATCACTACAATCATGGAGCCATTAATTAAGAGGGGCAGATCTCTCCTTGGGTTCTTCATATCTCCCAAGACAAAGCCAACCTGCCGCATATTCAGTTCTTGTTCACGGCTAAACCAGGCGAGCAGTCAAACTCACCATTTCCCAGCCGGCATAGCACCACAGTGCTCCAAACGTTGCCGTCCCAAAATCACCGAGCCACTCCCAAAGACCTATTTCGCGCTGCTCGGGAGCCTGGCCAAACCATCCATACTCGGACGAGGGAACACCCTCTCCGTGACCAAAGGCCCAGACGCCGCAGCCCAGAACGATGATGATGGTCAGAGCCGCCATCTTCAGAAAGAGAAACAAGTTGGCCGCCTTTGCGCCCGCGGTCGCGCCGAGGCAGTTAACCAGCGTCATGATCACGATGCAGCTCGCCGCCACCACTTTCGACACCCAAGACGGCAGCGTCTCTTGGTCTGCGACAAAGGCCTCGGTGAGATAATCCGCAAAAATCGTCGCAATCATTGAGTTCGCCGCGGGTTTGATGATGGTGCACCAGACCCATGTGAACAAGAACCCGGCGAACTCGCCGTAGCATGCTCGCAGGTATTCCTGAATGCCGCCATTATTGGGGATGCGCAACCCGAGCTCGATGAAGGAGGCGGCGCCCGTCCAGACAAGGAGACCACCAAAGAGCCAGGCCAGAAGGCCGTAGCCTGGCGCAGTGACGAATTGGCTGATCTGCGAGGGCACGCTGAAGATTCCCGAGCCGATTTGTAGGCTGATGACGATTGCGAGGCCGTTGAAGAGGGTGAGCTTGTGTGACGCCGACGCCGCCGGGGAAGTATCGCGGGATCTTGTTGGTGCCGGGGGCCGTTGGAGAAACGGCGAGGTTTCGTCGGTGCGGAGGAGGTCCGCCATCGTCGGAGGAGCTTACTTTGAGTTTGCTCAGCTTAGGGCCGAGGGGCGTTAAGTCTTAACAGCGACCTTTCAAATCCATGCAAGGTGAGTGTGGTGGGATCCCAGAAGCTTGATTTTGGCGTGTCAAGGTCACTCTTTCCTCAGTCTCTTAAACTACGTTTTACGAAATTTTTGAGAAACATCTAAGGGGAGGTAAGTCGAATGTAAAAGTAGGCCAGCTCGGGTATAAAGTAACAGGCTCGGATGCCGACTCTGAGCAAAAGGGTTCGTTCGATTGCCACACTGGACGCGTAGCGTTTTGTCTTATCTCTGGAGCGGTTGACAGGGATCTTTGCGCCCTTGTCTGGGGTCTGATAGCATGACTTCGGATAGCATTTTGGCATTCTGCATCTAATCAGATCCGGATGCCCTTCGCCCTCCTCACTGGCGGGAAAGATAGCGTCAACTCACATGTGTGCCTGTCAGCCTGGGACGAGTAATGGCTAAGAGAGAGTTGCAGAGTCTTGATTTGTCAATCGTAGCAAAGCTGCAACCTTACAAAGATTGAGAGGCGGCGAGAGACCACTGGATCTGGTTTTGAACTTCTAGCTAGAGGGAGGGCCGGAGTTAAGGAAGGGACAAGGACCCAGGAGCTATGGGTGTCAAAATCGGCAACCCTTGCATCAACCAGAAATACCTTCTTAGCCCTGATGGTCTAGCGGTATGATTCTCCCTTAGGGTCCTCATGACACTTCTGGGAGAGGTCCCAGGTTCGAATCCTGGTTAGGGCCCAATTCTTTTGCATTTTTGTTGAAATTTCCAGGTTGGATCCAGTTTTGTCTGAAGACGTTGCTGCGACTCGAATTTGGAGTTGCATGGCTTTGGGTTGAGAGTCTGGGGACATCGGGAAGAAGTAGACGTGATCACGCGGTTGCACTTACAAGTACCTTAGAGATCTGGGTTCTTTTGCTGAGATGTGTCCTACTCACAGGCTATGTGTCAAGGATATTGATGGGGCCGGTCGTATGTTATTTCTTGGATGGTTAGTGGTAATAGCTGTAATTCGAAAACAGCTTCTATTTTTGCAGTTTGGGGTGTGATGTATAAGATATCGTGTCTATCGAGGACTTTACTGCCGTCCTACACGTCTCTCACTCAGCGTACCTACTACCTATGGTACCTAGAACCAGACAGTCAGTTTTGTGTGGTGCGAATTCACTCCGGACTAATCCGAACATTGATTCGCTTTAAGCTAGAACATGGCAACGAAACGGAATGTTGACCAACATCGCAAGACGCTCGAGGCGCTGAAAGGGAGGTGAGTTGTAACTTGTGTGTCCTACCTAGGCACGAGGTGTACACCTTGTGGGATGCACCTGAGATGCTCTCAGCTCTAAACGCCAGACCAAGACAAAACCATCTCAACTCGCTTGGGATAATATTTAAATCTCTCGAATAAATTGCATCAACTTGTAAGAGATGATGAACTGCCCGGCGCATTCCTCGCATGCACTAACACGGGTTTCCAAGATCTGAAGAGACCCGTTGACGTGAACCCCCAGGTCCCGCCTCCCGTCCTCCAGCATGCCGTGAAGGTGGGGCAAGCACTGTGTCAGAGCATTTTGGGGAAGCACTGTCCCATTGGCAGCTCACGTGACTTGGACCGGGCTTCGCTAACAGGTACCTGGGTACCTGGGTACCTAGGGTCTCCGCCGCCCACACCGATTTTTTTTCTCACATTGTCGTGTGAAATTGATCGCGAAGCCAGAGTGCAAACTTCAACCCCGTCACTAACCAGCAGCCACTGAAGCCCACCGTTGACCCAGGTAAGCTCAATTTTCTTTAGTCCCTGGCTCTGGACGAAAAATTCGGAATTCTCCATATTCTAGTCAGGCGTCCGGGCGATTTCCAATTCTTTTCCTGTCCTTCCATTATCATCAACTAACCGTTTGTCCTTTTTTTTTTTTCTCTCTTCACAGGTCAATCAACGATCAACACAATGGCTTCGAGACCTACCGTCACCATCATCGGCAAGGATGGCAAGTCCTCCGGCAACACCCACACCCTGCCGGCTGTCTTCCTGAGCCCTATCCGTCCCGATATCGTCCAGGAGGTTCACAAGGGCCTGGCCAAGAACAAGCGCCAGCCCTACTCCGTCAGCGAGAAGGCCGGTCACCAGACCTCTGCCGAGTCTTGGGGAACTGGTTAGTCGACACCCGATCCGAAGCGAGAGCGTTACGAGGAGAAGGACTCTATTTTCCAGCTGGAGTGGAGGAAACGAAAATTCGACAGGAAAAGGAACGCGAACGGGACCTCGAGCAGACATCTGGGAAGGGAGTTACGACACAACCTGCCATGTGGTGGATGTCCGAGGGACCGAAGCGATAACTTTCTCGACGAATTGGAAGATTCACGACAGCTGGGGAATAGAGGGCTCTACGAAGACGTTACTCCGAGAGGGTAATCATTGTTGCTGACAGAAACACCACAGGTCGCGCTGTTGCCCGTATCCCCCGTGTCTCCGGTGGTGGTACTCACCGTGCCGGTCAGGCCGCCTTCGGTAACATGTGCCGTTCCGGTCGCATGTTCGCCCCCACCAAGACGTGGCGCAAGTGGCACGTCAAGGTCTCCCAGGGCCAGAGGTGAGATTTTTTTCCATTCTCTCTCCAGATTCTTCACCACCCCGCTGCGGGGATCGTGAAGATGAGCAGAAAAAGAACCAGCGTTCCTAACAGGCATAATCTACAGACGTTACGCTACTGTTTCCGCTATCGCCGCCTCCGGCGTTGCCCCCCTCCTCCAGGCCCGCGGTCACCAGGTCTCCAACGTCCCCGAGGTCCCCCTGGTCGTCGACTCCGCTCTCTTCGAGAACGCCGCCGTCACCCGCACTGCCGCCGCTGTCTCTCTCCTGAAGACCGTCGGTGCCTCCGACGACGTCGAGAAGGTCAAGAAGTCCAAGAAGCTCCGCGCCGGTAAGGGTAAGCTTCGTGGCCGCCGCCACCGCCAGCGCCGCGGCCCCTTGGTCATCTACGACCCCGAGGTCGACGGCAAGGAGCTCGTCACCGCGTTCCGCAACGTCCCCGGTGTCGAGACCTCCCCCGTCACCGCCCTCAACCTCCTCCAGCTCGCCCCCGGTGGCCACCTCGGCCGCTTCGTCGTCTGGACCTCGGCCGCCTTCAAGTCCCTGGACACCATCTACGGCACCACCACCACCCCCTCCGCCCTCAAGAAGGACTTCCTCCTGCCCTCCAACATCGTCTCCCAGAGCGACTTGACCCGTCTGATCAACAGCTCGGAAACTCAGTCCGCCCTCAACGAGCCCAAGGGTTACGCCGTCACCCGCCGCTCCGCGGTCCAGAAGAAGAACCCCCTCAAGAACAAGCAGGTCATGCTCCGCCTGAACCCCTACGCCTCGGTATTCGCCAAGGAGGCTGCCCAGAAGAAATAAACAGTTTCTTCTCTGGGACGGGTGTTCTGACGCGACGGTGGTGGAATGCAGGTTTCTGAAACGGACGGGGCTACATTTTAGCATGGTTTGTGCTTGAGGCGTAATGGCAACTAGGAAATGTTGACCTCAATTCATCAATGGACAAATGATTCCCTTGAATTCACACAAAAGTCTTGGTGTATTTGGTCTGCCCCTGGACCGTGACGACTTGAATCCACGTGATTATGACGTTTTCTTGTTTTTGTATTTTCTCTCTATTACGTAGTGACTGTAAGGTAGCTACAAAAAGTTCTCTAAACTCCATGGTCTCCATCAGATGTGAGCTGTAACCCACGTCCTTTTATGCCACGGATAGTTTGGTTCATCGGATTCGTTACGTGTCCATCTCCTCAAGATCTAGAAAGGTCTTTAACATCCCATCAGACTACCCAAGTTGCCCAACCCCTCAAGCCCCTCCTCTTCACCCTGAGCCATGAAAAAGTCTCCGAGGATATCCTCCACCTCCTCCACTTTCTTGAATCTCCAGAACCTCTGAATCGCATCCGCCAACCTCTGCGAACACAAGTCTACATTCTCCTCCGTCTCCGCCGCAAAACACAACCGGAAATAAGCCCATCCCCTCTCCGCCCGAATCGCCGGCGTAGCACTAAAGATCAACCCAGGACTCACCAGCACACGATACGGCTTCTTGGTCGCAAAGAACATGAGCGCCGTCGACAGCCTCTCCCCGTCGAGCAGGGGGATCCTCTCGCCGCCCGTCGCCATCCAGAGCGGATGCGTCTCGAGCCGGAGCTTGAGCCAGATGAACATGCCGCCGCGCGGCCAGGCGAACTCGTAGAGCTGCGTCTTGCTCACGACGCCCCAGTCGGCGTCGTCGGCGCTGCGCGGGGTCGACTGCTTGAGCTGGATGGAGCCTTCGTCGAGGATGGTGCACATGCGGTTCATGCGGCGCTCGTAGACGCCGCGGAGGCCGGACAGCCAGCGGACCCAGCCGTCCATTTTCCAGCCTTGGAAGGTCTGCTTCTGGCGCGAGGTGAGGGCGGCGAAGGCGGTGCGGGCGGCGGGGGGCTGGTCGCCCATGATGAGCTCTGCTACTGTGGATTGCACGAAGCCGGAGGGCTGCTGGGTGGTGACTTCGGTGATTCTGAGAGGATGACAGTGTTAGTTTTGATGGTTGTTTTAAACGATGTGTGGTTAGATGGATGATGCATACCTCAGCAGACGCTCAATGATGGCCGGCTGCGCCGTGATCCAGCCCATGCGGCATCCCGGCGCAATGGTCTTGGAAAAGGTGTCGAGGCGGATGACTCTGCCCTCGGTGTCGATGCTGAGGAACGAAGGGATCAAGGAATCCAGGAACTGGTAGCCGGATGACTTGGTGGGCTTGTAAGTCGGAGGAGCAGAAACCTCCAGCCCGCGCGACTTGGCCTCCTCGACGACTGCGGAAGGATACTGCAGGTACCAGTACGGGTCGTCTTCGACAATGATGACATCGTACTTGCTGGCGATGGCGTAAATCTCCTTGCGGCGTTCAACGGACAATATGCCGCTAGTCGGGTTGTGACCCATCCTACCCCACGCCACGTGTTAGCCATGTGTTGTTTTTTTGTCTTACCAATCAGAGCAGCGATCCTCCCCCCAAAGAGGGAAGCAGAGAGAGATAGAGTTTAGAAAGAATAGAACCAAACTCACGTCACGGTGTACATGAAATGCGGCCTCTTGCCATTCTTCTCATCCCACCCAGCCAGAACCTCCTCCAACCCGCCAGGTCCGTTGGCAATCATGCCGCCGTCATCCATCTCGACAGGCACGACCTGAATGCCCCGTGGCAGCGCCTGCGACAGGACCTGGCTGTACACAAAGACCTCGCACAGCATACCGGGCCGCTCCGCCGCGGCATCTTTCGCGGGACTCCACGGGTTCGTGATGAGCTCCAGCGTCTTGGAGAAGCCGTCGGTCGCACCGCAGCTGAGAATCACCTCGGGCCCGCCGAGGTACGGCACGTCCGGGTGCAGGTGGTCCCGCGTGAACTGGCGGATGAAGGACCGCAGGGGCGGATACCCCTCGGCCGTGCCGTACTGCAGCGCGGTGGCGACGTCGATGCGGCGGAGTGGGTCGCGGTCGTCGTCGGTGCCGGGGACGGTGACGTGCCGGGAGGCCTTGACGTCTTTTTCCTTGTCCTGGCCCGAGACGGCGGCAGCGGCGGCGCTCCGGATCGGGAGCGTGGTGGTGGTGCCGTCATCGGGGATCGGAGACGGTTCCCATCGTTCGGGCTTCGCCGCCTGCGCCTCGAGAGTGTCAAACGGGAACAAGCTCGAATGCGGAAGGCCTATAAAACAGGGT